TTTTTTTTTTTTTTATTGTACATAAATTTTATTTATGTACAATAATTGATTTTCTGATTCTACTAGGTTTTTGAAGAGTTTTTAAAATGAGCAAAGTTGACTGACAGTATTAGAATATTTGAAACAGACTGTGATATGCAAGACTTAATCAGTTAAATTTTGAAAAAAATTACAAAAAAAGCAAAAAGTATCAGTCAATAACAAGAGAGGAAATTTAATTTAAAAAATTATTAAAGAATAAATCATGTTATTTTTAGAAGTTAATTTGTTAAAGGGGGGAAAGCTTTTTTAAATGGTAATTAATTTTTGTTAAAAATATACCATTTGAAGATTTTTTTGTGTTTATACATAAATTATTCCACCATAGTGACCTTTCCCATTATTGTTGTTTTTGGGGTACATCAGGGTTTTGCCTAAGCCCATTGTTCTTTGCTATTATGATGGATGTACTAACAGGAGGAGTATGACTGAAGGTATCATGATCTATGATGTATGATGATGTTTTGTGTGCTGAAATAAGATAGGAAACTGAAGAGAGGTTGGAGGATGACACTAGAAGATAGATGTTTGAGATTGAGTGTATCCAAAACTGAACTTACGATATGTAGAGTGGATGATATGGGAAATGATGATGAACAGCATATTAATATATCAGAAACTGTTTAAGATGGAAGGATTCAAGTATTTGAGTTCTTTTATGGATTGGGGTGCAGCTAGTAAGAGGTAGGTCAGTCATAGAATACAGGCAGGTTGGCAAGGTTGGAGAAAGGAGTCAGGTGTTCTTAGTGATAAAAAATCTCATTAAGATTGAAAGGAAAGGTTTATAAGTTAGTGGAGTTCTGGAGGTCTGCCTTGATAGTATAGGATGGAAGGTGCCTTTAACTAAGAAAAATGCAAATAGGCTGGATATTATTGAGATGAAAATGCTGAAATGGGCATTTGGAATGACAAGAAGAGATGGGATCAAGAATAGCATGATAAGAGGGACTTTGGGAGTGGAGAAAATCTCTAAGAAAATTAGAAAGTCAATATTATGGTGGTTCAGAATGTGGAAAGAAGTCTTTTGGATTGCCAGAAAATGTATGAGGGAGATGGATCTTCTCAGGAGGAGAAGAGGTAGACTGAGAAAGACAATGGTTTTACAGTGTGTTTGAGGATGTAGTGGCCCTTGGAATTGATCAGAACTTGGTAGAGAACAGAGTGAAGTGGAGGAAAGCAATCTGCAGCAGTGACCCCATAAGAGTGGGAGTAATAAGCTGAAGAAGAAGATTAACATCCATTTATAAAATTGAAGAATTAAAATGAAAGATTTTCAAATTCATTTTTAGGTTTTTTATTTTTATAACATAGTTTTTTGTAAATTATAATAATCATATTATTGTAAATACAAAACAAATTATGTAAGCATTTTAAATATAAACTTTAAAATATTTGAAATATTTGTATTCATATTTGAAAACAAAATAGTCAAACTAAATAGTAATTATTCACCAATAAATAACTGACAGTGTTAAAGAAGAAGTTTTCAACAAAGTAGAAGAAATAGCAGATTCAAATATTATGTGAAAAATTTGAGAAAACAATTATTTTACAATTTTTTGTTGAATAATTTTTTATAACAATTTGAAAAAATTAAATAATAATGTATTCATAACATGAATATTACAAAAAACACTTGCATCAAAATTGCAATATGCATATATTTTAGAAAGTTAATTTTAGCATCAAAATTTTAGTATCTTCAGATTTACCCTTTTCATACCATGGGAACATAGTTCTGTGTAGTCAGTTTATTTCTTCAGGCTCTTCTCTGTCTTGATATGCAAAATTGTTTAAAACTTTTGTTTGGCAATGATATACTTTAAAATATAATTAACCTTATAGTAATTTTCATATTGTATTTTCAACTATAAAGTAATTTGAAATTAACAATAGTTTAACACTAACTGTAATCAGTGACATATGTGAGCATCAAAATTTTTTTTGACTTGTTATTAAAAATAATTTAGAACAATAGCACAATAACATGCTCAATCAGAAAAGTTTGACATTACCAATTGATTAATTATCAAGAGAGTATTAATATGCCTGCAAAATTAAAAATATTTAATTGTAAAGAATTATTTCTATACATGGTTATTCTGTGTTTCTGATTATGTAAAACAATTGTTTTAGTTATATTTTCTGTTGAATGAAATATCTGTTGTTTAAAATCTATTTTTATTTATATAATACCATACAAAATCTTTTCTTAT